ACACATCTTACATTTGGCGTTCCCAAAAGGATGATGCTGAGGCTGATGCTGATGCTGATGCTGCTGATGCTGATGATGCTGATGATGATGCTGCAGATGATGATGATGATTATGATGATTGAGGTGGAGGTAAGGAATGGTGGTAGGAGGAGGAGGAGAAGAGGAGGAGCAGGAAAGGAGGAGTAGGAGGAGGACGAGGAGGAGGAGACCACCACGAACACGCCAGGACGAGGAGGAGGACCAGTCTGAGCCGAAAACGCATCAACGATGTTGCAGTACACCCTCCTTCCAAGTTCCCCTCTTCATTGCGGGAAGTGGCCTATTAGAAGACGAACGTTTGTGAACCTTCTCTCGTTCCAAAACACCATCCCTGGGATTTCAACGCCGCGGATCAACGTGGCTGTTGCGTTGCGTCCTGACAACCTTACTGGGACATCAACGCCGCGAATCAACGTGACTGCCATGTCCTGACAGTCTTTCTTGTTTCCCGAACATAATTCTTGGGACTTCAACCGTGCGAATCCTTCTAACTATCGTACGCTCTCAAGACGAATGCGCGTGGCGCCAAGGCGAGAACACCAATTTAGTGAAAAGGATCCGCCGTGCATCCTTGAAATGGTTGCAAACTTTTTAGGACGAATGTGCGCGGCGCCTAGGCGAGAACCACATGTTCAATAGGGCTCGCCCTATATCCGTGAAGCTGTTACGAAATGCAAGCTTCATATTCAGAAATGGTCAGGAAGCCCCAGTCGAAACGCCCGGCCCGCCCTGCCGACACGTCTGGGGGTGCGACAGGGATGAGTTATTCATAAGGAAGGGGTGGATGAGGAGGAGGAGGAGGCGGATGAGGAGGATACGAAAGATCGCGCAACAAAAGGTTGACGACGAGTCGGAGGATGAGGAGCAGGAGCAGGAGCAGGAGCAGGAGGAGGAGCAATGCCGTCACGTGTGAGATTTGCCCTCCCCAAGCGACATGGGATGAGTTATTCATAAGGAAGGGGTGGATGAGGAGGAGGAGGAGGCGGATGAGGAGGATACGAAAGATCGCGCAACAAAAGGTTGACGACGAGTCGGAGGATGAGGAGCAGGAGCAGGAGCAGGAGCAGGAGGAGGAGCAATGCCGTCACGTGTGAGATTTGCCCTCCCCAAGCGGAGGATGAGGATGATGATGCTGCTGCTGATGATAATGATGATGAGGATGAGGATGATGCTGATGACGATGATGAGGCTAATGATGATGATGATGATGATGATGATGATGATGATGATGATGATGATGATGATGATGATGATGATGATGATGATGATGATGATGATGATGATGATGATGATGATGATGCTGATGATGATGATGATGATGATGGTGGTGGTGGTGGTGTCGATGATGCTGCTGCTGACGATGTTGATGCTGGTACAGATGACGATGTTGATAATGATGCTGACACTGCTGATGCTGATGATGATGCTGATGATAATGACTATGATGATGCTACTGATGATGCTGATGATGATGATGCTGATTCTGATGATGATGATACTTATGATAATGATGGTGATGATTCCGATGATTCTGAAGATGCATTTGAGTATGAATATGATGATGCTGATGATGAGGATGATGATGATGAGTATGATGATGACGACGATGATAATGGTGATGCCGATGATGATTATGATCCTGCAGATGATGCTGCTGCTGATGCTGATGATGCTTACGATGATGTTGATTATGATGCTGCATATGATGATGATGATGATGATGATGATGCTGATGATGATGATGCTGCTGCTGACGATGATGATGATGCTGATGGTGCTGCTGCTGCTGCTGATGATGATGCTCATGATGCTGATGCTGGTGCTGATGATATTGCTGCTGCTGATGCTGCTGATTATGATGATGAGACTGCTGATGCTGATGCTGCTGTTGATGATGATGCTGACGATGATGATGCTGATGATGATGATGATGATGATGATGATCATGATGATGATGATGATGATGATGATGATGATGATGATGATGATGATGATGATGATGATGCTGATGATGATGATGATGATGATGATGATGCTGATGATGCTGCTGATGATGCGGAGGAGGCGGAGGAGGATCATATGACCAGGTACGCCCCAGGAGTAGGTGCAGGGGGAGGAGACGACAGATCGTACTAACGCGATTGGCGAGGTGGACAACGATGAGGAGGACCAGGAGGAACAGGAGGAGGAGGATAATGAGGAGGAGGAAGAGGAGGAGGAGATCAGGAGGAGGACGAGAACGAAGGCGCGAGGAGGAAGAATACCATCACATGTGACACTAGTCGTCCCCTAGGAAGAGTAGGTTGAGGAGGAACAGGAGGAGGAGATGGAGGAGGAGTTGGAGGAGGAGTTGGAGGAGGAGGAGGTGGGCCAGTGTAAACCCAAGAGTCATCAACGATGTTAGAATAAACCCTCCCTCAAAGCTCCCTCTTCACAGGCCCCATACAACGGTTCATTTCCAGCGAGGGGGCTGCCTCGTTGGAAGACAACCGTTTGAAGACCCTGAAGCATGCCAACGCATTGTTCTCGGGATTCCAACGCCTCGGATCAACCTGACTGTTGCGTTTTACGATCCTGAGTCATGCCAGAACGCCACTCTTGGGACTTCAGCACCGCGAATGAACGTAAACGTTGCACCCGCATAACCATGAACCCTTCCAAAACTCAGTGTCTGGTATTTTGACGATGGGAATCCGGGGAACTCTTGCAGATCTTACTAACGAATGTGTGCGGCGCTAAGGCGGGAACCACATGTTGAAAAGGAACCGCCCTCAATCCATGCAGCTCTTATAATTTCGTAAAACGAACGTGCGCGGCGCTAAGACGAGAGCCACATTTTGAAAACGACCCGCCTTCAATCCATGAAACTCTTGCAACTTCTAAAAACGAATGTGCGCGGCGCTAAGGCGAGAGCCACATTTTGAAAATGACCCGCCCTCCATCTGTGAAGCTGTTGCCAATTTTGAAGCTGCATGGTTATACTTTGTGAGGAAGTCTCAGGCGAACCGCCCGACCAGCCCTAAAATCTGGCCTCGGGGTGCGACAGGGAGAAGTTATTTTTAGGGAAAGCGAATGGAGGATGAGCAGGAGGAGGAGGAAGAGGAGGAAGAGGAGGAAGAGGAGGAGGAGGAGAAGGAGGAGGAGGAGGAGGAGGAAGAGGAGGAGGAGGAGGAGGACGAGGAACAGGAGGAGGAGGCGGAGGAGGAGGAGGAGGAGGAAGAGGAGAAGGAGGAGAGGGAGGAGGAGTAGGGGGAGGAACGCGAGGGGGAGGAGGAGGGGGAGGAAGTTGACCTCGTAACATGTGACAATATGTTCGGTTCCGTGTCGGGATGTGCTTCTTCGTTTTCGTCGACGTCGCTCTTTTGTTTTGTTATCCATTCACTCTTTTTTTGGGGGGGTGGGGCAAGGGCTCTTGCCTCTTGGGGGCCTCTCGGGGCCTCTTGGGTTCGTCGTTGGGGCCTCTCTGGGCCTTGGGGGCTCTCTAGGCCGTTCTGGGGCGCTCTTGGACCATCTTGCGCATATTGGAGTCCGTCTTGGAGGCCAGTCTGGCTACTTTTGCGTCTCTTCAGGGCCATCTTGAGCGTCCCTTGGATGGTCCTGGTGCCTCCTTAGGCTATCTTGGGGCCGTCTTGGGGGCCTCTTGGTCCATCTTTGGGCCCTTTTGGGCCGTCCTGGGTACCTCCTTGGGCTGTCTTGAATCCGTCTTGGATGTCCCTGAAACTGTCTTGGGCCGACGGAAGCCAGAAAAGACGAGAACGCCAACATCTGCTTCCAGGGTGCAACAATCTGCCGACCCACGTGCCAACATTCCAATGATATATGATTGAGCAGCTTCTAGTGTGGTCTGCGTGCCGAACCCTACCAATGCAGAATCAAAACATGATCTTGCGAATTTCGATCGTTCCGGCTGCCGAACATTTTGAAGCACTACTGTATGCCTGAGATGATCCAGGCAGGCTCCAGGCAGGCTGGATGTCAAAATGGTAGACGTGTGTATCATGTTTACTCCGGTCGGCCCGTTGGCATCGGCCTCCGCGTAACACGTGACATAGGCTGCGTAGCGCCATTGTGGCGCGGATCGATCATTTCAGGCGGGTGCTGTTGTTAGAGCCGAGAGGGGATGGGGAACGGGGCCAGACAAGAGAGTGATAATTATGATATCGCGGACCGTAACACGGGGCCCGCGCCCTTGCATTATCGGGGTCGTCTCACTTCTGCCACTGTCTTAGACAGCACGGAGGAATCGGAAGGGCATGGCCACACTCGCACGCCACAACTGCCCTTCACCACCTGGGAAGACAGGGGCGAGTGGAGGAGGAGAAGGAGGAGGAGGAAGAGGAGGAGGAGGAGGAGGGGAGGAGGAGGAGGAGGAGGAGGGGGAGGAGGAGGAGGAGGAGGAGGAGGGGAAGGAGGGGCAGGAGCAGTAGGCATACCTCGGGGGGAAGGAGTGGACGGCAGCTGCTTGGACACACAAGCTTGGCTCTTGCGGCCCGAGTGTGGCCGCAAGCTCTGGCTCTTATGGCCTCCAGCTCATGGACACGTGGAACATTGCCCGACAGAGTTAGGGCTCGTGCCATCACTCGATTCAGCACCTCATCGCAGCTGCCGTCAGTATCTGTCCTTCTCTCGCGATTCAGTGCCGCCTCAAGGGCACCGCGTTGGGCCCGAAGAGCCGTCAGTTCCAAACATCTCCCAACTCCTTAGACTTGCCTCGAATGCCGCGGTGCTGTCTTGCAGGAACGTCACATTATTTTTGGGATAGTTGCAATATACACTGCGCTTTCTGTCAGGTCACCCCGCTGCCTTGAACTCTTGACTCCCAAGGATTGGGTTTATCCCGCGAGGCTCCTCTGCATTGGCTCCGATCGAACGATTCAGATGCTGCTGTCGTATTCTGGGTTCGCCCTGGCCACCTGCGGCGGCAGTGCCAACGGCCCAGCGGGCCGCGACGCGTGCCGCAGGCGGGTGTGGCGCAGGCGCAGACCCGCCCTCACACCGCCGCTGGGCCCGGATACACGCAGGCCGCGTACGAGGCGAAGCACCAGGCGGGCAGGGCCAGACAGCTTGTCTGCAGCCCCTCTCTGCAGCTGCCCGGAGCATGTCCCGCCGATGCACAGTCCCCTGCTCCCCTGCTCCCCCCTTCCCCCCACTCAGGCCCTCCCTCCCTCCCGCCTGTCCCCCCTGCTACACCTCTCCCCCCCCCGCTCCCCTCCTTCCCCCCCCCATCCCCCCTCTCAAGTCCCCCTCTCCCCCCCCCCTCCTCGCCCCCCTACCGCCTCCCCCCTTGACTCCCACGGGCTGGCGCTCGACGGCTGGTTGCCACGAGAGCCGGGGTGGAAGAGGAGGCAAGACGGTGTGAGGCACTGGCAGCCCGAGGGTCCAGGTGACTCCCCTCCTGCCCGTCTCTGCATCGACATCCGTAGTCTGCCCGCGTCTGCTCGTGTTCTCTCGTCCGCGTTTGTCCGTGCGCCCGTGTGCCCACGTCACCAGTTGTTTGCGTGCACATGTGTGCACTACTCTCGCTGCCCACGTCTTTCTCCGTGCGTATCTTTGCATCTGCCGGCGAGTTTGGTCCCCGGTCCCCATTTTCCTTTGTGCTTGCCTGGAGGACGACCCGCAGCTGCAGAACCTGAAGGACACCTGGGAGGGGAGGGGGAAACTGCCGCATCCGTCCCTGGAAGAGCAGAGGCAGTGCGCGAAGCGCCCGTCATCCGAAGATGATTGAGGGGCGGGCGGACAAGTAATTCGATCCATGGGGCATTCAGGGTCTTCCCAAGGGTACAGTCGGGGCCCTGAAGAAGGAACCCTTCTCGTTGGGGAGGGGCTCCGCGTTCCTTAAGTGTTTCGCAGCTTGCCTCAGGTTTTCCTTAGGTTTTCGATAGGAAATCGAAGTTCAACTTATGGAAAACAGGGGCCTCGTTCCTTATTTTGGGTTCCTTAGGTCAACGCCCCGACTGTACTCGCCTCCCTCGCCCCCTTCCGCAGGTATCGACCAGCGGCGGCGCCAGACCGGGGCCGGCAGCAGCAGGGTCACCGCGGAGCCTGCTGCTGCGCTCGCGTGTTGCTCCTGACACTGTCGCGCCGTTCCCGACACTTTCGCGTCACTCTGTCGCGAGGCTTGCTCGCGGCCTGGTCCAACAATGCGAGTGCAAGGGAAGGAAGCTGCCGCGAAGCTATGGCAAGGTGCACTGTAATGACGAATCTCTGTTGCCCAGTGATCAGACGCCCAGTGGAGGAGCATGATTTCCAGTTGGATCTTGGGTATGGGTGCGCGCTAAATGTGGGATGGCCGCGGCCAGATGCGATCGGAGCCGTTTGCCACGGCGATGCGCGGGAGCTCGCATGGAATGCGTCTCGACAGGGGCTTGGGCAGGGCCGAAAGTGTCGGGTGTATTCTCCTCAGGCGCGCGGCGACCAGTCAGGGTGCAAGAAGTGGCGCCAGGGAGGGCAGAGGGTTGCCGCTCTGACCTCGGCGAGATGCAGCTGCCTGAGGCGGGCTCCTGCCAGGCTCTACGAGGAGGCCATTTACGTTGTTCTTCTCGCCGGTCTGCTTGACCGTGCTACGCCCCCAGGCTGATGTGCGATCAGGTCGGCCTCAGGTTGGCACCGCTCGGCCGTCGAGCATCGGGTCTGACTGGTGTTCCCTTCAACTTGCTCTTGCCTCATCCTCTCGTCTCATCCCTGTTGCCCTCAGCCTTCCACCTTCTCCCCCCCTTGCATCCCCCCCCCTCACTCCCCCTTCCCTTCCCGCTCCCTCCATCCATCCATTCCTCCTCCCCCCTTTCCTCCTGCCACCTCCTCATTCTTCATCCTCTCCAGAGTCCGCCAAATTTTCAAGTCCTGAAAACCAACGTCCTCTTCCTCCTCCTCTCCCCCTCTTCCTCCTCCCCTCCCTCCCCCCCTCCGCCTCCTCCCCTCTCCTCCTTCCCCTCTTCCCCTCGTACGCCCCGTCCCCCTCCTCACCCTCCTCCCCACCCCTCTTCTCCCACCCGCCCTCTTGGCTTCCCTCCTCTCCGAGCCGCTGGCTGGCGGCCTGCGTGGCCGAGGAGCTCCGGAGGACTAGCGGCCTGAAGAACGTTCCCGTGGGGGACGGCCTGGCGACCCTCAAGGCCCAGCCGCGGCGGAGGAGGAGGAGGAGGAGGAGGAGGAGGAGGAGGAGGAGGAGGAGGACGAGGAGCAGGAGGAGGAGCAGGAGGAGGAGCAGGAGGAGGAGGACGAGGAGGACGAGGAGGATGTTTCTCTCCAACTTGCGCTGTAGGGGGTTCCTCGGCCCAGTACTCTGCTCATCGGCGTCTGGTCGCAGCGGTGCGATCATCACCATCATTATCGGAACATATTCCCTCTGCGGGCAACTGTTCGGAGGAGGATCAGAAGCTCCAGTCCGAATGGTGTGATTTCCAGCGGACGTGCCTTCCCCTACCCAGCCTTCCCGAGGTCCAGGTGCGCTCGGTTTTGGGGGAGGAGGACTGTTGACTCCGTGTGTGTGTGTGTGTGTGTTTGTCGACCCCGCTGGTCTGCCACTACCACATGGTTGTTGGTTGTTGTTGGACTGATGGACAGGTGGTGCAGGATGCATGCCTGATCGTTGCAAGTCGCGGGCTGAGGGCACGTGTAAAACAATTATGGGAAGTCTTCCGCAGACGCTGTTTCCTCCTCCGTTGCCCTCCCTATCTCGCAGGCCGAAGGAGCGCTATTCCGAGGCGCCGAAGCTTCCTCCTCCCCCTCCTCCTCTTCGCCAGCGCCCAGGCCTTCGCAAGAGACGGCCAGCTGTCGCGCGAGCAGTTCGTGGCTGGGTACGAGCAGCTGTTGCGGGGGCACAGCTCTGAGGTGCCCTCCAAGGAGGGCCCATTCCCCTGCCACGCCCCGCTGCCAGGAAGTCCTCTCCCCCCCTCCTTCAGGGGGGATTTGAGTCGTCGCATCGACGAGAACTGCGAAGATGGCTCCGTAGATCTACCAACATGCTACGTCCTTATTCGTGTCTTCGTCGAGACAATCAGTTCTGGGCACACCAATTCGGTGGTCGATCCCCTACTCGAGGGATGGGCCCCGCGGGGGGATCTTCGACGCCCGATTGCCCATCGATCGCCAATAGGGGCCGGTTGGCTCACCCCGCCCAGGCGCATGCGGCTCCGCCACCGGGGGCCTATCGCCGATCTGTCGGCGATGCATCGCCGCTTCCAGGTCGATGCTTCCCCCCCTGAGCCGGTCCCCCCTGACGTTTTCTGGGGCAACAGTAGGGGGGGATGGGCACAGGGGGGGATGCATCGACCCCCAGCCGCCCATTGATCGCCGAGGGGGGCCCGATGGCCCCAGCCTGCCCAGGAAGGTGCGGATTCGCTATCGGAGGCCTATCGCCGATCTATCGGCGATGTATCGCCGGTTCCAGGTTGATGTTCTCCCTCCTGATCGGGAGCCTTGAGACGGGGGTCAATGAAAACGGGGGTCAGCCAGAGCGCCGGATCCTGCAGGATCCTGCAGGGCCAGGGGCGCACTGACCCGGGTTCGGGTGCAGGATCCTGCAGGATCTTGCAGGATCCTTCGCATTGGCTCGAGTTTTTGTGCAGGATCTTGCAGGAGTTTGCCGGGTTCTGCAACGCCTGACTGACCCCCGGGTCTGGACTGACTCGGGTCAGAAGATCCCCGACCTGAGCCCGGAGGGTTCCAAAGGAGATTTTTGGGGAGGGGGTTTTCCAGAGAGCCCCCCAGGGGCTTCGGAACCTTGTCAAAAACAGAAGGTGCGAAGCCCCTGGGGGACCCCTCCTGGAAAACCCCCTCCCCCAAAACCCCCTTTGGAGCCCTCCGGTGAGCCGGTCCCCCCTGGTGCTTTTTCTCCTCCCTCCTGCTCTCGCGGTCTCCGCCCTGCCCGAGGCGGCAGGTGGCCCTCCAGGGGCCCAGGCTAAAACGACGCGAAGATCGGGACAAAATCGGATCGGGATAACTCGAAATCTCTGAGAATCGGCGGGTTTGGAGGATGTATTGGGCGCCGCGGCCGCTCCAGAGCGTTCCGGAACGCTCTGAGAGCGCTCCGGAACTCTTTGGAGCGATTTATCCCGATCCTAGCCCTGTTTTACAGGCGCGGTGAGGGTGCAGCCCTTCGGATGCAGCTCCCGGGTCGTCGTCGCCGCTGGCGACCTCGTCATTCCTTGCAGCCAGCGTCGTCGGCACCGCTCTCATTGTCGCCGCCACCGCCACCTCTGTCTTCCATCTCCTCGTCGCCGTGGTCGTCATGGCCACCGCCATCGCCGCAGTTTTTGCCGCCGTCGAGCGTGGTCGAGCGCCAAAGTTGTGTGCCCAGGCGGGAACGAAAAGGCTATCTCATGAACATCGCTAGGGGGCCGCATGCGAACCCTACCCCTACCCCCCACGATTTCGGAGGGGGAGGGTGGGGTTCACTTCGCCCGAGCGAAGTGAACCCCACCCTCCCCCTCCGAAATCGTGGGGGGTCGGGGTGGGGTTCGCATGTAGCCCCCTAGGAAATGATCCACGGGAAGGGGTAGGGGTAGGGTTCACTCAGTTCGGGAGCTCCCGAGCGAAGTGAACCCCACCCTCCCCCTCCGAAATCGTGGGGGGTAGGGGTAGGGTCGCATGCGGCCCCCTGAATCGCATCCCTGGCGGGCCAGCGCCGCCCTCCCGTCCCGGCGCCCCCCCTTCCCGTGGATCCTTTCCTGCATGAGCGCGGCGGAAGACAACGGGGTCGACCGCGCGGACATCTATCCTCCTCTCTCCTCCTCCTCTCTCCTCTTTCCTTCTCCTCCGCCTCCTCTCTCCTTTCCTCTCTCCTCTCTCCTCTCTCCTCCTCCGCCTCCTCTCTCCTCTCTCCTCCTCCGCCTCCTCTCTCCTTTCCTCTCTCCTCTCCTCTATCCTCCTCTCTCCTTCCCCCCCTCCTCTCTCCTCCTCCTCCGCCTCCTCCTCCTCTTGCGCGCGAGAGCGCGCGCAGAGTCGCCCACGGCTCCAAGGCGGCGCGCTGTGCTGGCGGCCCGCGTGCGCCGCGACGTAGGCTGCCACGTCTTCTCGCGTACGGCTGGTTCGTGTCGTGTCGACCGGCGGCGACCCCGCCGTCGGCATTCAACGTTAAACGCTGGCGTCGGCCCAGAGTCGGTCGATGTTGAACGATCCAACGGTGCGGAAGCGGCCGATCGTTCAAGCTTGAACGATCCCCGCGGTGTCAGGAACCAGCGCCTGGGTCGACACGACACGAACCTGCCGTAAGCCCTCGTCCCCTTCGTCGCTCACTTGGCCCCAGGTTGGGAGCGGCGAGTCCCAGGGTGGACCGGGCACCTCCGTCCCGTGAGCCATCTCCCACCTGGCCCCGAGTGGGAGTGCAGGCCGTTTTTGGGGTGGGCTGGGCGCCCCCAGAGGGGTAACAGGGACGCCGGGGTAAAGCGGGCGCCCTCTGGCGCCTCCCCCTCCCCCCACCTGGCCCGAGGTGGGAAATTGGGCATCCTGGACTGAACCAGGCCCCCTTCCCGCGAGCCATTCCCCACTTGGCCCCAGATGGGCATAGGCCGACCCTGGGGTGGGCCGGGCGCGACTGGACGTAAGGGTGACCTTCCGCTGGAGTGGCCTTCAGTGCGGGCCCACTGGGGTCCCCCGATCGCCGAATGCGACGCGATAGTTGCGCCTTGCTCGCTTGGGTTTGCCCCCCCGCGGCTCACCAGGAGCCGCGCACCAAAAGTCACAACGTGCTAGGTTCACTCTTGCGTGTGGCCGACGGGGGCCCCCTCCTGTGAGCCATTCTCCACGTGGTGTCAGGTGGGAAGGTGGCGAATCTGGGGCCGTGCGATCGCCCTCTGCAGGGTCCCGACGTGGGGATTACAGGAGGGGAGTCATTTTGCGCGCCTGGAAAGCCAAAAGGGGTAGGCGAATTAGCAACCCTGGGGGCCAGACCAGGGGAATGGAGCTCCGACCGCCCATTTGACAGTGGGTGCCCACTGTCATTTTGGGGGCCAGGGCGGGGGAGTTGAGCGCAGATCGCTCGTTTGACAGTGAGGGCCCACTGTGCAATTTGCAATCGGGGAGGCCACGGCGGGGGAATTGAGCTCCGATCGCCCGTTTGACAGTGGGGGCCCGAAGTCAAGTGGGCAGTCGGGGGCGTCAAGCCGCTCTGATCGCCCGTTTGACAGTGCTTGCCCGCAGTCGAATTTGCAATCGGAGGGGTGGGGCGGGGGACTTGGGCACCGATCGCCCGTTTGGCAGTGGGGGCCGACTATGAAAGTAGGAATTGGGGGGGTCGGTGCGGGGGAATCATTTTAAGCTGCTTAGCTGGATATGCGAGCGGGCTCAAAACAGGAGCGAGCGCATCGCATCCATTTATTGCGCAGTTGCCGGCATCGGGATATGATTAGTCAGCATGACTACTATGCGAATGCAGGAAAATATACAACATCTATCCGTACATCGTCACATCATGCCGAGCCTCAACCGCGAGGCACCTTTCCGACTTGGTAGCGGAGCTGGGCACACACTTGTAGCTGGCTCTGTTGTTTACATTTTTCCATGGCACAACATGGATGACCAATATGGACTTTGTTGCGCCAGTATTCCTTGGGGAACAGAGCCAGGAAGCTGCCGCGGCCAGACTGGCATCGGGCGTGTGCTGGCATACGACGACCACTACGCTTGTTGCTACCACCATCAACACTCTCAACACGATTTTTGGTATATACCACGGCTCTACGTCACTAGCTCTACCACTACGATCAGCTTGGGAACAAGCTTTCGTAAGCTGGTCTACCGCTAAACTACTACGTAACGCACGGAAGCATGTAACCATTGCCCGTGCGACGCTGAACAGTTGAGCACGACGCCAAGAGAACCTATCACCCAACTAGTCATCGGCTTTTACTCACTACCTTCAGCTGGTCTTGTTTGGTATGATATGGGTAGCATTGGAACTGGCGGTAGGTTATATGCAACGTCGTGCAGACGACGCTACTCTAGCAAGGGGACCTCACATGGACCCTGCAGGGACCATGCCCTTCAGGACATACGTCCAGGAGGTCCACGCGTGGCTTGATATCACGAGTGGCCGCTCTACATCCCAACAGCATGTGGCCGTTTTATAAAGAGGCCTTGCACGCCTGGCTCACATCATAGTAACGCGAATCTCCTTGCCCATCATCCACTACCGAGTTATCATCAATGGCGTGTGAACAGATTCTGTTACTGGTCTCATGTACGTATTCAGCGTCAACTTTAAACATGTGTAAGACGAGAGCCACTTAGACTCGGGTATCCATTTCATTGACTTCAGCGTTCCTGCGAGGACGGATGTTTTCCACGCTCGATAGTTTCGAGATGGCCAGGCTCGAGGCCCAACCAGTTGTTTTCGACATCCCCACGTTCCAAAGCCTGATCACCGTTTTGTGTCGAGCTCTGCAGATAGGACCGGTACGAGCGTTTTAGATGTTGCAGCGGTTGAAACACCAAGTGTCCAGAACCAGGTGGAGTACGACTCTTTACTTGAACGAGTGCGTTCCTTCGGCCATCTAGCCGAGAGATCCCCTGGCAATATGGGTGGGGTGTTTGGTCGAGGACGCGGCAGCGCGTCACAGTGCACTTGCTGCCAGACAGACTACGCCTTCCTCAGCAATGGAGAATACACGGCAATCGGCCGCAGCACATGGTCAGGCAACACCACAGAGGGCACAGCCTTCCGCACTGGCCAGGCAGCTGGTAGCCAGACACCACCGCGACGCAGCCAGTTATAACCTTTTGGGGCCAAAATGGCCCAGCCGAGCCGACTTCGCCCTTCAGCGCAGGTACAGACGCAGACGCAGAGCCGTCGTGGGACGGCGTGGAACCGATTGACCAGTCATGCGTGCCAA